ATAGAAATTTGTGTTAGGTTTGTCTATCACCCGATCATAAATTTGTATATTACATATTATAGACAAAATATAAATTTATACGAATACATAAAATTGTGAGAAAGTCTTACAAAAGTCTTAGAGATGCCAGTAAACAAATTTGACTTGCAAGTAAAATTTTTAAGATTCTCTCTTAATTCACTCGCGTACACTATTAGATTTGTCTCCAAAGTATAACATGACAACATCACTACACCATTTTGTTAAAATACAATATTTCTCTTCGTAGAGAAAATCGGTAAGATCAATATACTTTGAAAACGATAGATATTAAAAGTGTTGAAAAAGTCAAGTATCTATGAAAATATCCTTGCGTCAATGAATTTTAATCGATCGGTTCTCTCTAATGCCTTATCGCGTCATAGCATGCACATAATGCTTTAAGAAAGTGTATATTAATAATATAAATCCTTTCTTTAATACATTTAGGACTAGTTTATCTTTTACGTACGTTATATACTTATATGCGACATGTGTTGAAAAATATGTAAATTTAATCTCTATCGTAAACCTACATTACATAAATCATTTTCACCATGAATAAATCTTTAACAAAACAAAAAACTACATGAATAATTTCCCCCAATCGAAATCTTGCCACTAAACCACCACTCATTTGTTTTAATGTTGTTTTTTTTCTTCCAAATAAGCATGTTTGATTGTATTTGGCCACCAGTACCAAATACACACACATATATAACATGTTTTACCTCTTTGATACGAAATAGGCTGCTTCTTCGTTTTCACTTTCCACTTATACGAGGTTCTTGCATGATTTATCAATCACCAAATCGGTCAATTAAAATAGGGGAAGTTTGCATGTAGACACACACATGATATACGCATCCACTTACGTCCACGCATGGCATATCACTTATCATTTTAAAAGACCAACAGTCTAACCAGTAAAAGACACTAAAATTTCGTTTTTTCGAGACAATTGAGGGATCGAGGAAAACAAAAACATTAAAAACATATCTATTAAGCAAAAAATTGAAGTGAGAAAAGACAAAAACCAACTATGTATAAAGCCGAAGCGGATGATGGGTCCATAAAAGGCCGAACCTCCTCTTCTATTTTCTGAATATAACTACGATTTATTCCCATAATAACAAAGTTTTTTAAACATCTATCAAAGTGGTAGGCCCTTTTCCTTCATCATTTCTCATTTTCTTCTCTTTGACACCCTTCACTTCAACAACACTTCACATTCTTGTTACATGACCTTTTTTTGTCACAACACATATTATTGTTGGAGAATTACTACTACTTTTTTTTTTTTTGAATTTCTGATTACTACCACCAATTAACAATTAATAGATATATTTTTAATAAGAACAATTAATAGATATACTGGTCCCTATATGTTATTTTAATACAGAATTCTTAAATAAAAAGTGCCTGAACATTTGATTTAGTAATGTTATCATGAAAATATTAAGATTGAATTTAGTATCAAGACCGATCCTTTTTTCTTTTTTTTTGTCAAACCAAGACCAATCATCCTTCATTATGCATATATATCGAAACTCAGAATCAGATCGTATACGACCATATATCTCAACGTATACAAAGTACAATAAACGAAACTGCTACACAACAAGCGTCGAGCAAGGTCAGCACTCGTGTACTATAAGGAGTGAGATGTCATGCGCAACCACTTTAATCCTACAAATTAACTAAATTTTTTAAAAATGTTTACATATACATATATGCAAAGAAAAAGAGGAAACAACGTAATTGATTAGCCTAATTTGAAACGACGTCTCCTTAACGTTCGTGCGTTGTTTGTTAATGCGTCAGAATCTCTCTACGCATAATGCATTATTACGGCTATAAGGAATTTTGACATTATTTGATATCCGAAAACTTCATATATATGATCTGTATTATTGTTGTTTTCATTTCCATGTATATATATATATATATATATATATATATATATATATCTAGTAAAAACCCTAACCCGTTATTAAAATATACAATTCTTACATTACATATTTAAAACGAAGAAGAAAAAAAAAACATCTAGAGTTTTCGATTTGATTCTCAAGTTAAATTTAGAAAAATTTGGATGTAAGATATATTTTGTCGTCCACTTATACAATAAAGTATGAAAATGGATGCATGAAGGCTAGACATCCAATGTCTAAAAATACTATATAATGCTTGTGGATGTGGTAGGGTCTTTTCATTATCATGTCTCACTTCTTTTTCAATCCCTCATTTTAAACAGCCAATATAATTTCACTCTTCACCATAACATTATCATATGACATCATTTTGATTGAAGTACCTAAAAAGAAAAAAACGTATAGGAAATTTCTGAGCCCCAAGATTGTAATAATGTCTCATAGTTTGACTTGAAAAAGATAAATTAAACGCTTAAATCATTACCATTAATTAAATTAACTTTTGTACGCAATTGATTCAGACATAAGGACCGACCAATTCGAGAACAATGAATGGATATGATTCATCCTTACGAAAGCTTGGCAACAAACCCGGTTTGGCTGGTTAATTTAGACTCGGTTTATTAAAACCAGACCAATGATTTCTTACGACGTCGTTTTATTTCAATAGGGTGAGTGAAAAATAGAAGCTGAACTTCTTCGTCGCAAAGCCCATAAGGCCTAAGAAGATAACATTTTAGATTGGTTAAATGGGCCGAATTGGGTTGACCCATAATAAAAAAATTGCAGAAATGATTAATAGTCGTATTTAATTAAAACATATATTCGACGTATTTTTAACGCTCACTGGATTTATAAGTAGAGATTTTTTGTGTCTCACAAAACAAAAATCATCGTGAAACGTTCGAAGGCCATTTCTTTGGACGGACCATCGGCGTTAAGGAGAGAGCTTAGATCTCGTGCGGCGTAGTTTCTCCGGTACGTTGATTCCTTCTCTATCTCTCTCGAATCACTGATTCTTCTGGTCGAATTCCTTTCTCGCGATCTCTGGATCCGTGCTTTGTTCATTGGCTCGTCGTTTTCAGATCTGTTGCGTTTCTTCTGTTTTCTATTATGAGTGGATTTGCTTTCTTGTGATTCACTAGTTTGTAATGCTGGATCTGTATCTGCGTGGTGGGAATTCAAAGTGATATTGGTTGATTTTTTTCCAGATCAGGTTGTTCTAGTGTAATCAGGTCTAATACTTGATGATTCTGCGGAATTATAGATCTAAGATCTTGATTTGATTTAGATTTGAGGATATGAATGAGATTCGATACGATTTTGTAATCGTAGGTCCATAATGGTCTTGTTACCTCTGCTGCTAGGTCGATGATTATTCAGTTGCGTGTAATTGTGAGTTTTAATGTGTTTTTGTGAACAGGCTTGAAAAAATGGGTTTGTCCTTCGGTAAGTTGTTCAGCAAGCTCTTTGCGAAGAAAGAGATGCGTATTCTGATGGTTGGTCTCGATGCTGCTGGTAAGACGACTATCCTGTACAAGCTCAAACTTGGAGAGATCGTCACCACTATTCCAACCATTGGTGAGTTGTAACTTTCTTCTTCTCACATGTATTTTTATCCACCTCTGTAGTTTGTATGATGGATGCGATTTACTGTTGAATGTTACACTTGTTTTGTATGACAAGCTGATATTTCGGTTACATCAAGTCATCATCACGGTTCCTCTTTGTTTTTAGGGTTCAATGTTGAGACTGTTGAATACAAGAACATCAGCTTCACCGTGTGGGATGTCGGGGGTCAAGACAAGGTATCTATTATTCCATGGTTTTTCTTAATTCTGCATTTTGTAACCATTGTTTGTAGTCGATCATCCATTTATGATGTCATCTGTTCAAAAAGGGTTTGCTTATTAGGTTCAGTGTTGGTATTATATTCTTGTACCCACACTCTACAATTTATAAGCTAAATCAACTCAGCTGGAATTCTGAACATTCTTTGATTCTCAATGAGATGTCGTTGTCTGGCTAACAATCCCATATTACTTCTTTTTTCTCTGCGTCTATGTTGCCCCATTTGGGTTGTGAGCTGGTAGAATTGATCAAACTCTTTACTAATTTAATTACATCCTTCTTACTCGCCCAGATCCGTCCATTGTGGAGACATTACTTCCAGAACACTCAGGGACTTATCTTTGTTGTGGACAGCAATGATCGTGACCGTGTTGTTGAAGCCAGGGATGAGCTTCACAGGATGCTGAATGAGGTATTTAACTCAACACTTCCCTCTATACTTAGGTATACTTAAGAACCAATTTGGTTTTGACTTTGTGATGTGTATTTTGGCAGGATGAATTGAGGGATGCAGTTCTACTTGTATTTGCTAACAAGCAAGATCTTCCCAACGCGATGAACGCTGCTGAGATAACTGACAAGCTTGGGCTTCACTCTCTTCGCCAACGACACTGGTGAGCGAAACACACAAAAACTAGCTCTCTCGATCTACAGTTTAAAAAGCCTTGACATGTGTGAGCCATATAACTTCATGTGATCATTGTAATAACAGGTACATTCAGAGCACATGTGCCACCTCAGGAGAAGGGCTCTATGAGGGACTTGACTGGCTCTCCAACAACATCGCAAACAAGGTATCCACTACTAGCTACTTTCTCTTTTAACAAATCCAGTTATGGTTTATAGTCCGAGTCTGAAACACTTAAATGTATGTATCGCAGGCATAGATGGGAGGTTAGCCAGATTTCTCTTTTGCTTGTTTGGTTTATAAATCAAAGAAAGAGGTCTGTTTCGCTAGTACTAAAAGATTTATTATTATATTCTTCTTCGTCGCTTATCTCAAACGCAGAGATCATTTCACAGTTTGTATTTTCCCATAAATAACTTGTTTACTCCTCTCCTTTTCTTCCTGAATTTGAGTATATCATTTTTACGTCTTCTTTTCATTGGAGCATCTTTCGAAACAAAAGTTGAACCAAAAGCTGACCCGTTTTTTTTTTATTATTTATTTTGTCATTCAAACTTGAGATTCGAAGATACACTCAAAAATTCAGGAAAGCACACATTATAGACAAATTTTATAAAAAGGTAAGACAAATCACATGTCAACGTCCAAAGCATTTGAAACCAGAGACAGTATGAGTGGTTGTCGACCGGACACAACCCCCGAAACGATTTACTGCCCAGAGAAAAAAAAACTACCTAATTCACCGACATTTATAACTCCCATTCAAGCAGCGGACGGTGCAGTCACGTAGTTGACCCGGCCAGCTTCAGTAAGAGCGGTGATAAACGGCTTCAGATTCACGGGATCGGCCTCTGTGCCCACAACGGCTACAGGTTTCTTGTAATCCAAGGATTCATCGTTGTAAATGTCCCACCATTTCTTCACTAACATTTTTATGTCTTCCCTGTCCATGTTCGCTTCTTTCCCTGTGTATCTCCACGGCTTCGAACCCTGTAAAAGAGAAACAGACAACCAGAAAATTTCAGAACTCGAAACGAAATTTATTGTCTTGGGTAAACAAAACCGTGACTAAAATTAATAACTCACCGCTGCACAGTAGTGAACCACCTTGACTTTCCCAAGCTCTACATTTTCTGGATGACGCCATAACATCGCAAGGACGAGGTTGTACACTAAAGGAATCGGCTTGTAGATTTTCTTGAAGTACATGTTTAGAAAATCCTGCGCAATCAAATCCACAACTTAAAACAGATGAAAACAGAGCATAACAGAGAAAGGCCACTCTAAGTTTTGATTTTGTCATTACCTGTTCAGCAAAAGGAGTCGGAGGAGTGATTTTAAGGGTTCTTAGTAGGTCCTCGTAAGTCTCAAGGTTAGGCTCGAACAAGAACATTCCGGCGTTGAAGTAAAGAGCCGGAGGCTCTCCAAGCTCCGCCTTTGGCCACTGGACTTTATCGCGGCATTGTTGGCAATATCCAATCTTGTATTGCGGCGTGTGGCTCCATGTTTTCTCGCAGAAACAATCCATCACCGCGTAGAAATAGCCATCTGGTAGATCAAACAAGTGATCGATGTTTTCGTAAACTTGAATGTCTCCATCTAAATATATCATTTTACTATACTCCACAAACTGCACATAACACACAAAAAAAAACAGAGCATTAACCACTTTTTCAAAGGGAAGTAAACGATGACGTATTGAAAAAAAACACAACAAAGGAGTAGTAAACGACAGCGTATTATATGTACCTTCCAGATACGGAGTTTAGAGTAGTTGATGACGTAATAAGCCATGGCGAACTGAGTTTGGTTCTCGGGTGGGTAAACGGGTTCAATTTCACGAACAATGCATCCTTGTTCCATAAGTATACGACGGTGCTCCTCCGGCACGTCCGGTAATATCGCCACAACGAGTGGATAAGCCGATTTGACTTTCCTTAAACCTTTGGCTAAACCAACAACTCCTTTCACGTAATCACCGTTTCCGGCAAGAAACGTCACGTAAGCTCGATCGCTGTCTTGGACTGATGGTAGTAACGGTTTTGTTATCATCACGGTGGATTCGGCATCGGCGGTTGGAGTAAGCCCCGGAGCCATGTGATTAGCACGTGATTTGCTGAGAGGATTTAGCGAAAAATGTGATGAGAGAAGAAGAGTTTATCTAGTTATGTGCTTGTGTTTGCTGATGAGGACTTAGGTAGCGGGCGAAACGGGGTTAATATAGGCGCTTGGATAGGTTTCGATCGTGAAATCTGGAACGTACAAGTGTAAGTAGGAGAACAGACGGTGGTGATTGGCGTTTGGTGAAACCGTGAAAGTTCTGGAAAGTGGGACCGTAACGGGGAAATTTAAATCAAACGGATACGGAGAAAACGCTAGAAGCAGCTACGGTGTTTTGTAGAACATGTTATTCCCTGCTACGAGGTGCATCGTACACTTCCCTAGTCCTCTTTTTGGTATTTTAATCTATTTTTTTTTTTTTCTCTTTTTTTTGTGTGTGTTTTAATCTGTGTTCTAAAAAACGGTCTAAGCGGTCGCCTAATCCTTAACTAGGCACTAAACTCTTATGTCACGTCTAGATAACCGCCTTTACCGCCTAAAATTACAAAGATCTTGTTTAATGTATTTTTTCAATTTCAATTAAATTTTATTTATATATCTATAGTTATAAATATTCATATATTGTTTAATATAAATATAAATAAATACTTTATCTAGTTTTTGTTTATAATTTCATAATTTTTATATAGATATTTGATATAACTTTATATATAATATCATATATATAATGTTTTATGTTATAAACGTTTAAACCGTCTAAAAATCGTTTAGGCCCCGATTATGCGTTCTAGGCGCTAGACACTAGGTCACCGCCCTTTAAGCGCCTACCACTTTCTTGAACATTGGTTTTAATATACATGAAAAAACTCATTTTACAATGAAAAAGAAAAAAAGAATAGAAGTTAGAAGTATACTGAATTAAGATAGTAATCTTGTATATATATATGAAAAGATAAATTTCATATAAAACTTTTTTTTCCTAGTCACAAGTAAATCATTTGCTAATTTAGTTTACAAGATACTGAAACCAAACCGTGGAATTATCAGAGATGGAGTAATCTCTATCTACAAAGATCTCATTTTTTTTCATAACTAAAGAGAAACACTTTAAAAAATCAAAATTTTCTATTCTTGTTACTTTTCATACTGCATCGTGCATCGTGAGGCACTTAATAATTTCAACCTTTCCCTCAAATTTAAAAATAATTGTATCTGAATAAAATTGCAGGTTTCTGAAATTAAAAAGGACGTTAGGTAACTTCCATGTGCTTAATTTCCAATAATTATTATTGTAAGACTTTACAGAAAAATAAATAATAGTAAATTAGTAATAAACAAGAAAATTAATCACGTGAAAAATGGAGATTTCTATTTTCTTTTGAGAACGACAGATTTGACACCGCATTAGTAGTTCTACCTGGGTGAAGAAGAACCGTGAGATACACGCGCCATCTGATTTGGGCCCATAAATCTCATAATGGGCCATATGAACCAATTCCATGGTGCATAGTGAACATTCGTGGGCTCCATCGCAGACCCAATTGCTTTCCCTTTCAGTAGAATATACAGTCACTTCTTCTCAGGTGTCGGTAGAAATGTCTCACGCCACATTTTCCAAAAGTCCTTTTTAACTTTCTTTGAATTTTCTTAGTTTGTCCAACTAAATCTACAAAGAGCTAAGTTAGGTACATTTTTTTAGAAAATGTTCAATTATTTTTCTCTCGATTTGGGCCTAAGAAAGCCCAAAGAAACCGATTATCATACCAATCAATCATCATCGGGACTCTGTAACAGTAAAACAGAGAGAGTTTAGGAATTAAGCTCTGGGATCTGAGATTCGGAGAAAGGATAGCAAATTGTGTGCTTTTATCGGAATATCTCACGATCGAAAATGTAAAACAAGTAACGAGAGAATTATTTGTCTCTTTACTTGGTTCACATTTTCCAAAATCTCACATGTATGAATTGTTTGTCGGCAGTTGAATCTAAATGTCTGCACAATTCTTCAACATCAAGCTATGTTCTTACCACATTTCATCTCTCGATGTTTGATATCTCATCTTTCGGTTTTTGTTGCAGTCATTGGCTCGTTTGAACAAGAAAGATTCATCGTTATTCTGGTGGATTTTGCACCTCAATGTACCACATGCTTTGTTTTATTAAAGTTTAAAGTTGGAATCTCCTCTGCGTCATCATCTATACGTCATCCTTTTAGCGCCATGCACAACAAAATATTTATAATTAACAATTTCAGGTTTATGAGGTTCACGAGATTGAATTTTTCTAATCTTTATGTATATTATTATTTACTCTCCTCGATGTATTAGGAGATTGTTATCTCATGATCAAGCAATTTACGATCAAAGTTATGAATAAAAATGAATGTGTTAATAAAACATAAAAATAAAGAGAATCTAGAAAAATAATTTCCATTTGCTGAAGGCGATGTAACACGCTCAAAATATAAAGAAATTTTGAGAACTTATAAAATATATATATAGGCCCCTTGCCACGTAGTTCTGCCCATGTAAGTCATATCAAAAGTGCGACTGGTAGCCATAAGTTCACTCTAGGATATGTCTTAGATTGACCGATATTGTCTTTAAAATTCACCCCAGGACTTAAAATGACCAAGCATGAAAACACTTAAAATGAATTTTGATGAAATTGTGGGAATATAACATGTAAACACCAAAACTCGCTAGCTGGAGTGTTTTGAATACTAGGAAATAAATTTTAGATGGTAATTAATGTTAGAATATCGTCTTAATTATCCTCATTTTTTAACAACTCGATCAAACACAATCTCGTTTAAGAAGGATGACAATTACCTTACTATATAATAAGGCTTCTAGGTAGAGAAAAAAAGAAGTAGAACCAACACAACATTCACATTCTTTATGGTTTTTTAATTAAGTTAAGAAATACCAAAAAAAAAAGGGTTGGCTGTATAAATCACCCCATACTTATAGCACTAAAGTGGAATCCCCCCAAACTATTAACCTCTTCACTATACACCCCAGTTTATTAATTTCTTAATAATTCCACATATCTAATTAAATTTTTAATGACGTTTACTAAACCATTAATCGCGTTTCACTGTACCACGTTTAGATTAATCTACTTGTAAAACGTTGACCACACTTTAATTAGACCTTCTTAGTGAGAAAGAGGGTTTCAAATTAAACCCTAAATATTTCTTTTGTCAAATCGTTTTGATTCATTTCTTCTCGTTTTGGTTCGTTGCTGTTAAAGCCAATAAGCCAACTTCGGAAGTTTTAGAGATTAGAGTCATCGCCGTGATTTTTCTCCAGGTCTGATTGGTTTCTCTGCATTGATTTTCTTTAATGTTTCATTGCAATTGTTTGACTATCTATGAATATGCTTGAGATAGTTACGTCAACGTTTTTTTTGTTTTTGGATTCTGGGTTTTAATGTTTACATATACTAGTTAAAATTCATCTACTTAACTAGTTTTCTTAGCTCTTCATGATCATGCTCTGAAAACGTCATTCGGTTTCTAGTGTTTTCATCTAACATAATTTTCATCATCACCTTGATTTCTAGTGTATCTTCTCTGTTCAATAGGGATTGCAGCAACTTATTAAAGGAATTTAAGGAAAACGTAGGGATTGTGGCAACTCCGAAAAGAAATTACGTAAGTGTTGTTATATATATATGATTTTGCTATTAGAGTCATAAGTGTTGTTGTGAGTTAGTAATTTGCAAATTCGGTTTCATAGTGACGAAGTAGAAATTGATCCAGAGGATATGCTTTATAATGAGAGTGATGAGTCTAGTGATGAAGAGAGTGACAAAAGACGTGATGAGGAGGGTGACAAAGGACGTGATGAGGAGGGTGACAAAGGGAGTGATGAATCTAGTAATGAAGAGAGTGATAATGAGATTGCAGATGAAGAAGAACGTGAAGATAATGGGGAAAACAAGACTAGAAAAGGTAAAAAGAAGGAAAAGGAGAGTGAAGATGTATTGGAGCGTGATGAGTATGAAGTGCAGGAATCAGTAGCCAAATTTGTTGATGAGATTAGAATTGAAACCCTCTTTCTCTCTAAGAAGAGGGCCTTATTTGAGTGTGGTCAACGTTTTAAAAATAAATTAGTCTAAACGTGGTATAGTAAACGCAATTAACGGTTTAGTAAACGTAATTAAGGATTTAATTAGATATGTGGAATTATTAAGAAATTAATAAATTGGGGTGTATAGTGAAGAGGTTAATAGTTTGGGGAGATTCCACTTTAGTGCTATAAGTATATGGTGATTTATACAGCCAACCCAAAAAAAAAAAAAAAAAAAAATCATATGTTTCCAAATTATTTACTTTAGAATGCTTCCATTTTTTTTTCTTTTTTCCTTTTGTTGTTGTCGGCCTCGGGGGTTTCGTTTTAACTCCCAGATTTAGGTTTCGGAAGAAGACCTGTGTGTCTTTCAATTTTAGGGTTTCTGTCGACTATGGAGAAGGATAAAAAAGTGAAACTGAAGTAGGCTCCGACTTGGGAAACAACGATTCAACAACCCAAGAGAAGGTAAAGTTATTTCTTCGATTTTATCAGTAGATGTGATTTTGCACTCTCTTTTCCCGACCTCTATAACTTTAGGTACACTTGATTCTCATAACGTTGACCTCTATCGTTGGCATATATAATATTATTTTTGAACACTCTAAAGTTATGTTTGATTCTTCAATTCCTCCTTAATATGTTTGATGATTTTGCAGAAAAGGGAACTGTCATTAGCTGAAACATGCAGATATGATGAGATTAATCTTGCAATAAAAGGTAATTCTTGAGAGTCATAACTTAACTCTGCCAGTGGATTCTTTTACAATTAATCCTTGAAATCGATCTCTAACGTAGCGTGTTTCTTTACCTGGTCCAACAGAGGGCAAACCTTATAGAATCACTTGGGAAGTTGTGCCGTTGAGGACACTTGCGCTAATGAAGGAGAGGGGCTTGCTTATATTAGATAATGATGTTGATCATAAGGCTGATGATGATGAGCCAACTGATGAGAAGGTAACGTAATCCTCATGATTGTACTTTGATCTTTTTGAGATGGCTCTCCTTAATTTGTGTTTTCATGAACAGATGGTTGAGACAGAGACCAGTGGCCGTGGTAAGAGGAGAAGAGTAGAACAAGAGCACCGCCCAGATCTCAACAAGACTGCAGGTGTGTCTTAAACTCTCTCATATTATATTGGAGTAGTCATAAGTATTGTTTCCTTGGGCTAAATCTTATTCATAAGATGAGGCTTGCATTGATACGACTACCACTAGATACACCTTAGAAATTCTCATTGTTTTGTGTTGATGTTCAGCTCCTAGAGGATCAGCTGAGGATAATGTTTTACCTTTTACGAAGACGTTACCTTCGTGGAAAGAGTATGAGTCTGATGAGGTCTACAAAAGAACACCACAACGTCCGCACTTCCCATCATTGGCTTACTCGTGTGAACTTTTTCGTGAAGGGATTGCAGCCGGTCTGACTGGAGCTTTTATCAAATGTGTAAAGACAGTAGATGATATGGGTGAGGACACTCCAAGAAGCAAACTAGATGTCTACAAAGAGACATTTGTCATGCTAGAGGAGCAGGGATTCGACGTTAGAGCGCCTCTATCACGGATCAACGAGCTGTTATCTCTCCAAAATGGGCTACCAAATATGTTGAAGAAAGAGATGAGAGGTGAATCGTCCAACAAAAAAGCCAAAGCTGGACTGAACAAGAAGCCTTCTTTCAAGACAAAGGAGATGGCAAGAAAATCCACTGTGAAACAAGATAGGCTGAATTTTTTGTACGAGAAACAAAGAGAGATAAGAGAAGGTTCTAGCAAAGAACCAAAGCTGAACAAGAGTCTGGTGAGGTGCAAAAGCAGCTTTGAAGACAAGGAGACGGCAAAATAAGAGATATGGGTGTGGAGACTCCTTGGTAAGTTAAGAATAACTATGATTTTATCCTTTTAAGTTCTGTTTCTTTTATTTATCCTTTTTGTAACAACTCTGATGTACTGCTACTGGCTTTTGGCTTTGGCTGCTGCCTTCCTACTTTAAGAGCCGAAAAAAACAATGCACTTCTTTTATTATCCGTATTTTTTTGTTCTTTTTAAGGCATTACTAGTCTGATTCTCTGTATATGTGAATTGAGTCTCAGTGTGAACAAATTAAGTTTAGATGTTAATGCTCTGTGAGAAGCTAGCACGTGATTTGCTGAGAGGATTGATTTAGAGGGATATGGATATGTGATGTGTTTACTGATGAGAATGGGCTAAAACAGGGTTAGAGCAGGTGAAGTCGGGAGTCTCTCACCCAAATCTCTCATGCAAAAAAGAAATAATAAAGTATTATTATTTTATGTGAGTCTCTAAAAAATATAGAGAAAGTCTCTCACTTGAGAGATTCTCATCACTTTTTTTTGAGAGATTCTCATAATTATATAATATTATCTATTATTTTATTATTTTTATTTTGTTCGAAAGACTTTTGTGAGAAATCCCCATTGCACATGCTCTTAATATAGGCGCTTGGATTGGTTACGATTGTGAAATCTGGAACGTACACGTGTAAGTAGGAGATCAGACGGCCGTTACGGTCTTTCTATTTATATGATTGATTTCTGGGATATATAGAACATGTTAATTCCCCTGCTACAATTGAAATAAATATCATTTGCTAATTAATTTTACAAGATATTGAAACCATACCGTACAACAGATGGAGTAATCTCTATCATCTACAAAGGTCTCGTTTTTCACAACAACTTAATTAATTAAGAGAAACACTTCAAAAATCGTTACAAACAAACAAAAAAATGTCAAACATTTCGATATATTCTTGTTATTTTACATGCTGCTGATGAGAAAACTATGCTAATCCAAGAACATGTTTGAACCATGTGCTCTTCAAGGTGATTCTTTTAATAATCTTTTTTGATGCGTTTCAAGAGAAGGCTGATCAAATATATGCTCTCTTGTTCTGTATGCTGCAGCATTGCCATTTTATGTACTCTCTGCTATATTTGTGAATCTTTTTGTTATCATCTTTGTGGTCACTGTTGTTTTAGCTGCTCCTTTATTTTTGGGTTGTTCTGAACATAAGTGGCCGTATCTTAGTCGGGCTTCCATGGTGGAATGAAGTTACTGAAATTCGTGAGAGTGTATGTACATTTGAATCTCTTTGCCAACATGTATAATCTTTTACTTTTTGTTGTCTTCATATAATTCAGTTTCCAATATTCCTTAGAATCACTCCGAGTTTGATGTTTCGGTTCTTGTTGCAGTCATTGGCTCGTTTGAACAAGAAAGATTCATCGTTATTCTGGTGGACTTTGTTCCTCTATGTAATTAAGTTGTATCTATATGTTTCATTTGTCACACCAATGTATATTGAAACTGTTATGTAACCTCTATTTTTTTTTTTTTTTTTAAATCAACCATTATATGTTACTTTTTATTTAGGCATCTGCTTGGATCATTCTTGTGATATTCTCTGTTATAAGATTCGAACCTGATTATGTTCTGGTTATTGGAGTTTGCTTGACTCTCTTACTGTTGCAAACATCGTTGGATTCACCAAATACCAAAAAAGTACAAAAACTATTTCTCAATCTACTACTCATGCCAATGATGCAATCTTTGATTATATGACTGTTTATGTTATTTGATATCTTGTAGATGCCAAGAAGCAGATTCAAGCATTTGCTACACAAACACTTACCTCTCGCTTCTCTTCAACGATAAAACCGGCGTTTAGGGTCTTCTAGAGAGGCTTAAACCTCATACTTTGTGATACTGTTAATTAAACCCTGATGTTGACATTGGCTCTAAACGTGTTTTGTGTTGCAAAATTTGACAAAGAAAAGAGAATAATAATGAAAGTGGGACTCTTACCATGTCTTAGAATTTCCTGCCAAGGGTGTCGGTTGTGTTGAGCTTTGATTTTTATTACCTTAATCATCGCCGGTCATCTTTGATTTTGGTTCCTTAATAAATTTCATATGTTTCCATTATTGTCGATGTATATAATTTACTTTCTATAGTTTAATTTTTCTTCACAAAGCTTTGAAAATTGTTGCTTTTCGGAAATCATATTCCGACCAATCAAAGTCAACCACATAGTGTCCGAGTTTAGGCAACAGGCATTACATTTACTTCGAAATTAAAATTTCATTTTTTACGGTTAGTGGTAGACTTTTACTAATCTTTTCACATTGTCAACTGTAGACTTCTAATATTAATAATTATTTTTGTTTTCAATATAAAATTTATGGTTTCTAATCATTAATCATGTTTAAAAGTTTTATAATTTTTCATAATTATATATAGTTTTTGGTGTTTTTATACTTTTTTTATAATCATATATTGAATTTATTTTGGTAAATTTTGGTTTAACCGCTATCGTATCCGCTGATTAACCAGTCGTAAATCTCCCGCAAACGCACCCATTTTTAACCGCTAAACCAGTCGGTCAAAACGCTAAATAACGCTTGAAACTACAATCGTCCGCTTCCGCAAACTCCCACAACCGTAACCGCAACCGCTGTGTTTAAACTAGTCAAGCCATATAATTAAATGATTTGATATTTAGTTGGACTCTTCTTATTATTTTAGGCATAAATTTAAGAGGCTGGAAATGCATTGCTTTATTATTATAACACCAAAATGTATAAAATGTAACAACTGGAAGTTCGAACTTAATAATGGTTTATTAGATTCAGGATTCTGAATTGACTGAGTCAGTACTTGCTAACCATTAATTAATCAAAAGAAAAATATTGATGTGGAGCTCTTTTGAATTTGAAGTTTGATTATGATGCTTCTTTAGAGGGAATATATCATATCACATATATCCTTTATCAAGACTATTTGATACATTGAACCTCAACCAGAAAATGGATCCCCAGATTATTAAACCATACATTTAATTATATGTATACGTCTATACAGGTGCGTTGACGGAAAAAAAATGATAGATGCTAAAACATGGACGTCCTATGGTCTCATCATGCCTTTCGAGTTTTGTACCACATGCTTTCTTTTATTAGAGTTTAAAGTTCGAACTCTCTTAGAGGAATCTCCTCTGCGTCATCACCTATACGTCATCCTTTTAACGCCATGCACAATTAATATAAACATTGATACAAGTTCAGGTTTATGAGGTTCACGAGATCGAATATTTCTAATCTTATAGTATATATTTACTCTCCTCGATGTATTACGAGTATGTTATCTCATGATCATGCAATTTACGATCAAAGTTATGAAGAAAAATGAATGTGTTAATAAAACATAAAAATAAAGAGAATCTAGAAAAATAATTCCCATTTGCTGAAGGCGATTTAACACGACCTCATGACCTAAAAACGGATCTGTCAATAAGGGATATGAATAAATACAAGATTAATTAATACTATTCATTAGTCATCTTTCTTTTTATAGAGTACCATCCCCATCTTTCAAGACACTGTGAGTGTCTAAAAATATTATTTTAATCATTTTATAATAAATAAGTTATTTATTTAAATTATAAATTATAAAGAGAGAATTTGGCCAATAATATAAAAACAAGTGGAGATACAGTTTTTAAACTAGAAACGTGTCTACTCTCTTTCTTACTTTTTTATTATTATTTTATTTTTTTAATTTTTAGACACTTTTCAGACACTACCGTTAGAGATTCTCTTATATATTGCCTTATAATATTTGATATAAATTGTTTACTTAGATTTTGGGATATATTGACCTTATAAAGATTTTTTGTTGGAGGCTTATGTGTTATGTCGCATCAAATCGGAATTAGACATAACCAGATGACACAAAAAAAAAAAAAAGAGAGCCTTTGCGTATGAATATGACAGAATTTTGAGCGTGTAAGTTAAAAAGTTGAGATTGTGGGTTCTACTTTTGGTGTTCTTCTGATTTTGATAGATCGTAAACGTGTTTTTAATGTTGATTTTTCATCTTTTTGTTGATTATTTATCTTCTTTTTTTTTTGTGCTTTCCTTTCTACAAATTAAGTTTACTTTTTATTTTCTTTTTTGTTTAAAGTTTTATGTTCGTTTAGTTTATTGAACCAAATTAAACTTCTCGGTGAGACGATACGATCATAATACGTAAGACAAACCATTAGATTGCAGTCTTTTGAGGTAATATTTCGTTGTTTTAAAGTTTCAACGTGTCGCAGTTATCGTTTAATCAAATAACCTGTCAAAAGAATTTGTTTAGTGGTGAAAAAAAACTGTGAAATATTCTTTCAACTAATAAATCAATATAATTGACACAAAAGACCGGTCTTATTTCATGTCAACAGAAAAGGTTATTTTTCTTGACATTTGCTTATTTGGGCTATCGTCTCTATATCACATATCGAATCGATGTAACAATTCACTGAATCGGGTGTTACAAAAAACATTTGTTTTCTTCACTAAAAGTCTTAGATACTGGTACAACCCAAAATGTAATAACCTATATCGGAATCAAATTGACACGTCATCACGGGTGTGTCTATTTGTCCACAGTTGAAAGTTAGAAGCAGACAAGTGTCTCGTAAAGACGTCGAGATCTGATTCGGTTCTCAGGTACATACACTTAATCAGGAGTGTTGCTTTCCCCTAGAACTATGGAGGCTACTATTTAAGTGTCGTTGTGTAACAAAAATCTTGTGTTTGCTTGCATTACTTAAACTCTTTTACTTTAATATATAGGTTTTTATATATGTTTTCAACCTTCCTTTTTAGACAGAGTGGATCGCTCTGACATGTACGCATCAGATTGTATATGCTAATCCTTTTTTGTTAGTATGTTAAAATTTTATGTTTATATAGTTTTAGTGCTTCTATATTTCCACTTTAGTAACATATGGAATCATGCATGAATTTAACAATATAAAGTAATTATTTAATTTGATTTCCCTGATCGAATTATATTTTATATGTTTTGTAATAAGAATCAATTAAAATATTAGCGAATGTATATAGTTGGTTTACCTTGGTTTAATCTCTTGTATAGTTCGATTAGCATAATGGTTTAGTTTCACTTGTATTTAACCTTGCTTTGTATCTTATTTTACACTTAATGAAGATTATCACAAATATTGAAATGGTATCAGAGCAAATTCCCCAATCTTCATTCACTTCTTCCGCTTAATTCGATTATCTGATTCTTTGTTGTTTTTTTTTTGATTCTACACTCGATTTTCATGGAGATTCTGATTCTTCGATCAATTTCGTTTCGATTGATCATTTGATTTTTCCGATTGGTTGATTTTTCCGATTAATCCATCGTGTTCTCCGATTTATTTCTTCGTTTTTTTGTTCTTCGATCTGTTTCTTCTCCGATCGAAGTGTTTGTTCTATATCCAGTCGATTCATCAAAATCGATTGTGTCTCCATACAATCTCGTAGAACTTTACTCAAAAGTAATGATGCATTAACAACGTACAACATATATTATAGACGTTATAATAAATATTATAGGCATTCGAATTTCAGAAGTAATAGTGGAACGATGAGTTCATTAATTATGGAAACTGGAAAGTATACTGCAGTCTCTCTTTACTTCGTCGTGAATTCTTAAAAAAAAAAAAAGTATTTTGCGTGTATTTTCTTTACCGGCAATTATTGAAAGTATATTATTGTTTTTACTTGCTTTAATATATATTACTGTTTCATAATTAATAATTCCAACGTGCGATAAATTTTTGTCGAAAAGAACTCATAAAAGTCTCATATATTTCTGTTAATATATGCATAGAAGTCATAGTGATAGACAGAGGAAAGACGTCTCTTTGACTACTCTTCAATCGAAAACAAAATGTGCTAAAATTTCAAAAGCAAAGTCCCTAAACTCGCCTAACTCCATTTCTCATTTGACTTTGCATTAAATGTCAATAGTCCTATGTTATTTAGCTACATTCAAATTTGGAAATCTATTGAAAACTAGTGTTCTTTAGTAATTACTCTTTTAGTTTTACAAATAGTATCGTTTTAAATTTTTTTTTCCATTTTATTCAAAATACTACTTTCTCCGTTTTTTAATAAGTGATGTTTTAACCTTCTAATTTTGTTTTTAAGTAGATGATGTTTTCAGTTTTCAATGTAAAATTAATTACTTAATTTCTATTGGTTTTGACTATTTATATTCTGTAAATTGTTTTTTTATTGGTTGATTAGATAATAAATGATGTTTTAGTTTAAAAATAAACAAAAATTAAATAATTTTTTAATCGATGTGCATTATCTTAAAACAACACTTATAAAAAAATGGAGGGAGTAGTAATTAACTATTATTGTTTTTTTTTTTTGAGAAAGGATTAACTATTATTGTTATTATGCATTCTTATCATGTAGTTTAATTTCTTAATGTTAGCTGCGAAAACTAAATCGTGATTGCACAACAATAAGTGATTAATAAATCAGTAATTTCGCCCATAGTAATCCCTAACCAGAGTCATTTTGAACAAGACTAAAGATATACAATTACTTACGTCTGCGATACTGTGTGGTAATAAATATAGAAACTTTATGAAGTAGAACTCTCTTACCAAAGAAAGATAAAGTAAGAGTGCGTGTTTACTATACATCTGAACTAGTCAAAGGGTCAAACCTTAGTATTTTAAATTACACAAACAATTGACCAAATGGAGAGTTAATTATGTTTAGAATAATTTACTATTCTCTCTGTTTTTTTTAAGTTGTCGTTTTAACTGTATTTGGACAAATTAAGAAAAGGTATACAATGACTATATTAACCTCATAAAAATGACAAGTAATTATTTACAAATAATTTCTGTTCAATAAAATAAGGGTAATTTGGGTAGTTATTGACATAAATTACATTATTACCTTAAAACGACAACTAATTTAAAACAAAAAAAAGCTCTAAAACGACAACTATTCGAAAACGGAGAGAGTATATAGTTGCAAAATTCCACTTTAGAAACAGAATAAAAAATAATTGAACATCACACTTATGCCGTGTTCCAGTCACTCTTCAACATTCTACTCATTTTCAAATATCCTTTCTATACTTTTAAAATTATTTTATTCTTATGTTCCGATCCTTCGCTATATATATTTATAAAATCACACATTGCTTAATCACTTCAAATCTAATCCACAAAAGCATTCACACAATCTCATCTCTATCTCTCTCTGTCTCTCTTTTCCTTTTCTCATTAAAGTTCTTTTAAAAGAAATGGAAGATTACGAGCAAAACTCAAACTCTCCAACTCATGAAGAAGATTCTGATGTACGGAAAGGTCCATGGACCGAGGAAGAAGATGCAATCCTAGTCAACTTCGTCTCTATCCATGGTGATGCTCGTTGGAACCACATCGCTCGTTCCTCTGGTATCATCAGAACATCAATCTCTAAATAAACATATACACAAAGGCCTTTCTTTATAGATAAACTTATATATATATATACACTCATATATGTGCAGGGCTAAAGAGAACTGGTAAGAGTTGCAGATTAAGATGGCTTAACTACTTACGTCCAGATGTTAGAAGAGGCAACATCACTCTCGAAGAACAATTTATGATCCTCAAACTCCATTCTCTTTGGGGCAATAGGTACACACTTTATATCCCAAATGTAAATCTTTTGCGACTCTATATGTTTACTAGTTAAGTGTATATGTTGTTTATATGTTACAAAAATGCAATTTTCATATAATTTTTTTTTTCTTTCAATTTAATATATAAGGTGGTCGAAGATTGCACAGTATTTACCGGGAAGAACAGATAATGAAATAAAGAATTATTGGAGAACTCGAGTCCAAAAGCAAGCTAAACACCTAAGATGCGATGTTAATAGTAATCTTTTCAAGGAGACGATGAGAAATGTTTGGATGCCGAGATTGGTGGAAAGAATTAATGCTCAATCATCACCCGCCACGTGTGAGCCAGTGGAGTCAATGATCACCGACCCAGGTCAACCTATTAAAGAACCGATTCCGGTCGAACCGGGTTTCCTTCAATTCAACCAGCAATTTGTACCGGCATTGGAATTGTCCGCAACGTCTTCGAATTCGCTGGCTGAGACGTTATCGGACGTTCAAGGTGGGGTGGTGAACGGGTCGGGTAGTGACCCGGCGGGTCAAACGGGTTTCGGAGAGTTCAACGATTGGGGCTGTGTTGGTGGGGACAACATATGGACCGATGAGGAGAGTTTTTGGTTCTTGCAGGACCAGTTCTGCCCCGAAACGACATCGTATTCGTATAATTAAGGAAATATACGATTACGATACGTAACGAGGAATTCAATTGCGTCACGTTTGGTGCAGTAATATTCATTCGTGCGTGATGCCATTTTAGATACGGCCTTGGTATACGAATCTTGACTTAATTATTATGTTTTTTTCTTTTCTTTTTCTCTTGTTTTATACATCCCCCGATTAAATTAAGATTTGATCATCACGGGAGGATGTTGTGATTCACTGATTTGTGATATATCATATATGACATATGTGAATTATTGGATATAACGTTTTAAAAACAGAAAAAAAATCTTATTTGGTTTGGTCCCGTTACTCCATTTTATTTACGACAGAAATCACTAACGATTTAAACAGAAAAAATTACTACAAAACATACAAGGATCGAGGTATATAATTAACACTCGTCAAAATATGACTAGTTATTATTTGATTGGTTCAAATTGTCACAACACATGATTTATTATTTTGATATAAATTTGGTAGTCCGGAATGCTCATATACCTCACGTGAAATATGCATGGTCGATCCAATGATAAGTAACGATAAAACAACAACAAATTATGCAAGGACTTACATTATTTATACTTACGCTATACTCCCTCCGTATTTTAATAAGTGTCGTTTTAGGATTTTCTTTTTTTAAAAATTAGATGTCGTTTTCAAATTTCTATGCAAAATTTTTTACTTTTTAATGTTTTATGACATCATAAAACATTAAAAAGTAATAAATTTTTCATAGAAATTTGAAAACGACATCCAATTCAAAAAAGTAAAAATTCTAAAACGACACTTATTAAAATACGGAGGGAGTATAAATTAATTCACATCAACAAGTGGTTCCTGACGATAATCCAGTAAAACCCTTCGTCCATATCGTTGCTCCCACACGTAGTTTCGATGATAAACTCGTGATTATCGCCACGATGCGATGTATCAACCACTGAAATTCTCTTCCTCGTCATGTTTTCGTCTCCGACGATATTTCTGTAAATTTTCACCGCCGACGAAGAAGAATCTGCTGTATCCGGCTCGTCTTTAGGCGTAAGACGGCAACTCATCAGTGCTCTAAGGAGCATCACTATCGACGCCATGTGTCTCTGACGTCGTAGGATGCTTTAGTTGGCTTTAATTTGTTTAATCACTTTCAACACTTAAGACACACACAAAACATATGTATATATACTGTGTGCGTTTGTGTGTGAGCTTGTGTCAGTGTGTGTAATAGTCTTAACAACCATTGTCGAATGTAGAAAGTTGAAACAAGACATCATAAGGAGGAAGCCATCATCGAGAGGATATCTAGTTTTGGTAAGTATTAATAGTGAAAAAACTAAATTGCCCTTGACCGATTGCCAACATGGAGTCTGCACCAGAAGCGAATCAAGGGTATTATGGTCTCTTATGACTCATGGTTTTGACGTCGAAGAGACAACAAATAGTTCATCTTCAGCAAGAAACAATGAAAGGAGAGGAGAGAATTTTTTTAAAAAGGAGCTTTTAGAAAATAGTCTGATCTAATCTTTTTCTCGGTCAACGATTGTTGGACAACCTTCTAGATTTAATTTTTCTCTTTTTTTGGGTAACTTTAGCATTTTGGTCAGTCAACCTGTATGTAAACAAATATTTAGTGTTTCTTTTGAAAATTATGTTTTTTGTTTATATAATACTACATTAGTATACATTCCTTTCGATAATTTTGGGTACTACTATTAGTTTCTCTATAACTTAGGATTATTACTTATTAGTATTGTAATTTAGGACAAAAACTATCAACAAATGAATTTAGGAAACTGGCTCTTGTTACTTTACTTCGTTGGTTTAAAAGGCTATGAAAAGTGTTCTAAAATAAAAAAAAAAACTGGTTCTATAGGATTTTTTGGAGGATGAATATGATAACATAAGAAACGGTGTCGTTTGATTGTCAAAAAAAGGAAACGGTGTCGTTTTAATAACACTTGTAGTTAAACACAACCCGCTAAGCGATCCCAAAGGTTGAAGAATTCTTTGGCGCTCAAAAAAAAAATCCCCAATTCGCAATCTTTGAAACCCTAAACTCCTGAATCGAAGCAGATCCTGATCGAATCGAAGGTGTTGTTGCTTCTGCATCGAATGATAGTAAATTCGGAACCCTAATTACGATGGGTGGTACGGACGCGAAAGATATTCTCGGGTTGCCGAAGACTCCACTGTCTTTAACTCAGGAGAAGAAATCTCGACCCCAGAAAGAGTCCCATCGAAAACCCGATGGCATTTCTCGCGAGGTTAGCTCTAACAAATCGAACCAATCCTTTGGAATCGATTGATTTTATTACCTTTTGATAGACTTTTCATTTTCATTGCAGGTTTATGCGCTTACCGGCGGCGTTGCACCTCTTATGCCTTCAATTGATTTAAAGCGACGTCCTCCTCCAGATGAGAAGGTCTGTTGCTGCTGCTTTTAGACATTTTGTTGCCACTGTCTTGTTTTGAGTTTTGAGTTGATTCTAGTGTACTAGTATGATTCTCCTGAGTGTTAGTATTATGCTAAGAAACATGTCTTTAGTATCTCAGGTTGCTTGGAAATGGCTTTCCTTCACAAATTCTGCTAGGAAAGATGATTTGCAGCTTTACCATTGGGTACGTTCCTTATCTGTGTGCAACGCCGTTGTAGAAACGCTTTAGCATTTCATTCTCTCTTATGTGTTATGCATTTGGGGTTTTCTTATATCTTCACAGGTTAGAGTGGTTAATGATGTTCCACCAACAGGTGACTATTCCTTTGCCAAATATAACAAGGTATTATATTGCCTTCATGATTGTCTTTTTTTTTTGGTGTTATTGAATATTGAGTAACTTTTGCTGTCCTCTCTCCGTTTCTGCTTTTTTTGTTCTGACTTGTTTTTGTAATTCCCAATTGATTGTTTGTATCTTTGCGTGAATGCAGTCAGTTGATATTTTGAAATACACAGACGAGGAGTATGAGAATCATTTAACGGATCCTGTAAGTGTTTGCTTTTCTGTTTCAGTCTATTATGTATGAAGTGAAGACATGTTCTGCATAGCTTATGTACTTGCTTGTTTTGGATAATGTCGATTGTCCTCCAACTTGCAGGTGTGGACCAAGGAAGAGACAGATCAGTTGTTTGAATTCTGTCAAAATTTTGATCTCCGCTTTGTTGTAATAGCTGATCGATTTCCGGTATCACGGACTGTGGAGGAATTGAAGGATCGTTACTACAGTGGTATGTTGGACCTTCTCTGTTTTCGGACCATTATCCGTTCACTTATACCTTGTCCTTTCATTTTATTTCATATTTGATCTCTCTGTTTTTATTTCATGTTGCACCAGGGTTCATTAAAAAATACATGGACTGAGAATATTCTTACGTACTTTCTTTTGTAGTAAACCGGGCCCTGCTGCGTGCTAGAGCTCAGTCTCCAGCAGATGTTGCAAACCATCCTCTCATGAAGGTCAAATTCCACTTATATCTCTTCATAGCAAGCTAAGAACTGTTATGTTCATATATATGTAGTTTATTGTAGCAATCTCTCCTTGTCATGTTATCTGGAGAAAACATCTCTCTAAATGCTTTTTTTTTCCGATGTATTGGCATAAACAGGAACCTTATGATATTACACGCGATAGAGAGCGCAAGCGGGCATTGTCCATGGTCCTGTCCCAGAGTAGACATCAGGAGAAGAAAGATGCTGAGGTTATTTTCTATTTAATTTTGAATGTACTTGCAGCCAAATAAATGTGATTAGTTCTTTGCTTTCTCTTATCTACCCTTCTCCCACAACTGCAGATACTTGCTGAGGCTAAAAGAATCACAGAGATGCGATTGGCAGCACGTGTAAGGGTTGTCTTAAAATAAATATATACTCACTCGTAGTAACTAAAGAACAATGGATGAAATTTGCTTACCATGATTGAAAACCTTAGACGCATATCTGAACTCTATCTTTATTATCTTGTTTCTGGCTGTCCAGCGTGCAGAAGAACCTGATGTGTCTGCAAATGAGAACGCCGGTCTTGATAAAGCTGATGGGGTAGTTCCAGGGCGTAGTGTATCTCCAACATCCAATTCTCAACTTCCTGCTACTGCCGTGGCTCCATCAACACTAACTATGGCAGATTATGCCTCTACCCTTGCTTCTCTCCGCATGGTGAGTGAAGTGTCCCTCTCTTCTTCTCTTTCCATTTTCTACTTGGCTATCCAGTTTATCTGATTCTTTCTGGTGAATCTGTCAATTTTTCAGCTCCATGTATACTTGAGAACCTATGGACTTGAACAAATGGTCCAAGCTGCAAGCTCTGCTGTTGGTCTTCGAACGATCAAGCGTGTTGAGCAGACTCTGCAAGATCTCGGGGTTTGTCTTTGCTTCTTGTTCTGTTTAACTCTTTCTATCTGTCTAAATCATTTTGCTTATCTTTCCCCTATTGATTGATGAATGAGACTTAACTAATGTTATAAAGGGAACCCGTACTGAAGCTAGCTTTGAATGTGTTCTATTACTAATTTGTGGGGATTTTGGTTCGGGTAGAGGCTAGTAGGTTCTTATCAGTTTATTTGATTGTAGCTACTCTTAAGATTTGCTAAATGAGTATATAGAGTTTTCTGTTTACAGGTCAATTTAAAGCCAAAGGTTCCTACAAAAACTGTATGTGATGAGCATCTTGAGTTACGAAAAGAAATATTAACACTACTGAATCTTCAGAAGCAGGTAAACCATACGATACAAGTCTATCTCACATAGATTCACAAAATATACAGCTATTTGTTTATCTAACTTCTTGCCAAACATGGTCTGCTTGTAATTTCAGCTGCAATATAAGGAATCAGAAGGTTCATCACATCGTGAAGGGTCATATGCTGCAATGCCAGACACTCCAAAAGTGAGCAACAAACTTTGTTTATTGGTTCTCACTTCAGTTTCATCTTCCTATTGATCTCTCTAATTCTATATATTTTTGATCAGGATCGTGTTTTCGCATCGGACCCATTCAGTTTTGGAGGTACATTTGCTTATCTTGTTGGTTTCAGCATTGTATGCACTGCTTAACCATCTCTAAGTTCATTTCGTGTGTTTGTTTCAGCTGAAAGACCAATCAAGAAGGACCAAAAACGCAAGGTGGTGCAAATCAGAGTCTGCTCTTCTTTATCGTATCAATTTCTCTGAATTTCCATTGCATCTATATGTTTAACTTGAATCTTAATTACAATATGTTTGTGAATCCTACAGGGTCCTGGAAGACAAGCAGATACTCCTTCACCAGCTCATAAGCGTCCGAGAAAGTTGAAAGCCTCTGATCTATAAAATCTCTCAACTCGGACTCGCAATTTTAATGTGTAATGTATATACCATTTTCGGGTGATTCCAAACACTGCACTGTTTTCAGTTGTTGAATGTTTTCATTGGTGATTTTTTTTTAGTCTTTACACCGGTTCTTCAACTCATTTACAGTACGATCATCATGTCGAAAAATGAAGTTAGTGAATCATTAAATTAAAACCTTTGTTACCGCATTACTAATCTGTTCTAAACAACTTTAACTGTGTTATGTTTGCTTAAAATACAATAAAACGCTTGTCTGCATTGTTAATCTGATATTAACAATCGTTAAGTGAGAAGATAAATGACTTTTTTTTAAAGCAGGTAAGATTAAGCGCCAAAAAAACAAGAAAGAAATTTTAATTTGAAAAGCATATGTAATCGTGGTATGCTTTGATATCCCATATTTAGATCCAAAGTCAGCTTTACAACAAATGTTTGACAACCCATGTTTAGATCCAAAGTCAGCTTTACTACAAATGTTTGATAACCCTACCAATCACAACCCCCAACTTTCAAAAATCCAACAAAATTGGATGAAAATCTTGATAACAGGGAAAAAAACCAAAACAGATTCATCAGACTTATTGCTTCCTTCCTCTTCTTTGCTTCACAGGTTGTGTCTCCACCTGTTTTTTCCGGTGACTTCAGAAAGGTCAACTGCATTATACACTAACAAACCCGATATTCAGTGAGGAGATTTCCATAAAGCATTAAGAGATAATATATATGTAGATTAGAATGTGAAGTTCCATTCTCTCTTTAATGTTTGGTAGGCGAAAATGGATTTCACAGAATATGTTATTCAGCCTCTCCCCTCTTCTTTGCTTATTATGCTTGGTCTGTCGTGAACTTGAGACACTAAGTCTAAGCAAAAATAAAAATTAAATCTATCATATACTTCACATGAAAATACTGCAAAGGATGAAACAAGTAGCCTAACATGGA